GTGTAGAACGTCGAGTGGTATTGTTAGTGAGTATGTTAGGTAGATGAGGACGAGTATCCAGAAGGTGAGGAGGTAGTAAAGGAAGGGTTGGCGGATGTGGTAGAGGATGTTGTTGATGACTGAGAGAAGGTTGTCTGTGGTTGATGGATGGTAGTAGTGGAGTGAGTATTACATTACGGTTTGAAGTATGTGATGTCATGTGGTTGTGTGTAGTTGGTGAGTAGCACAACAGGTGATAGGACGGCAGTACGTAGGTGTGAACGTAGGTGGAGAACGTCGAGTGGTATTGTCAGTGAGTATGTTAGGTAGGTGATGGCGAGTATCCAGAAGGTGAGGAGGTAGTAGAGGAAGGGATAGCGGATGTGATAGAGGAAGTGGTTGATGACTGAGAGGAGGTTGTCTTCAGTTGATGGATGGTAGTAGTGGAGTGAGTATTAGATTACGGTTGAAAGTATGTGATGTCATGTGGTTGTGTGTAGTTGGTGAGTAGCACTAGTGGTGATAGCACAGCAGTGCGTAGGTGTGATTGTAGGTGTAGAACGTCGAGTGGTATTGTGAGAGAGTATGTTAGGTAGATGAGGGCAAGTAGCCAGAAGGTGAGGAGGTACAGGAGGAAGGGTTGGCGGATGCAGAAGAGGAATGTGTTGATAGATGAGAGGAGGTTGTCTGTGGTTGATGGATGGTAGTAGTTGAGTGAGTAGGTGAGGTGTCGAATACAGTGAGTAGTAGATTACGGTTTGAAGTATGTGATGTCATGTGGTTCGGTGTAGTTGGTGAGTAGTACCAGTGGTGATAGCACGGCAGTGCGTAGGTGTGAACGTAGGTGTAGAACGTCGAGTGGTATTGTGAGAGAGTATGTTAGGTAGGTGATGGAGAGTAGCCAGAAGATGAGGAGGTGCAGGAGGAAGGGTTGGCGGATGTGATAGAGGAAGTTGTTGATGGCTGAGAGGTGGTTGTCTGTGGTTGATGGATGGTAGTAGTGGAGTGAGTAGGTGAGTAGAGTGAGTAGTAGATTACGGTTGGAAGTACAATGTAGTAGGTGCGGGGATGTCGTCGGCCAGCAGATGCAGTGGTAGTAGGTGGTGAGTGTAGGCGAGGCGCCAATGCGAGAGGATGTGAAGGAGATCGAGGGGGAAGAGTAGAGAGTAGAGGAGGTAGGTGATGGCGAGTAGCCAGAAGGTGAGGAGTGGAGTGAGTAGATGATGTGTCGAATAGAGTGAATATTAGATTACGGTTTGAAGTACAATGTAGGAGGTGCGGGGATGTTGTCGGCGAGTAGATGCAGTGGTAGTAGGTGGTGATGGGTGTAAGCGAGGCGCCAGTGCGAGAGGATGTGGAGTAGGTCCAGGGGGAAGAGTAGTGTGTAGAGGAGGTAGGTGATGGCGAGTAGCTAGAAGGTGACGAAGTGCTTGATTGCTGAGAGGAGGTTGTAGTTATATGATGGATGGTAGTATTGGAGTGAGTAGGTGACGTGTCGAATAGAGTGAGTATTAGATTATGGTTTGAAATACGTAATGTCATGTGGTTGTGTGTAGTTGGTAAGTAGATGAAGTGGTGTGAGCACGGCAGTGCGTAGGTGTGATCGTAGGTGTAGAACGTCGAGTGGTATTGTTAGTAAGTAGAGGAGGTAGATGATGGCGATGAGCCAGAATGTGAGAAGGTAGTAGAGGAAGGGTTGGCGGATGGAATGGAGGAAGAGGTTGATGACTGAGAGGAGGTTGTCCGTGGTTGATGGATGGTAGTAGTGGAGTGAGTAGTAGATTACGGTTTGAAGTATGTGATGTCATGTGGTTGTGTGTAGTTGGTGAGTAGTACTAGTGGTGATAGCACGGCACTGCGTAGGTGTGATTGTAGGTGGAGAACGTCGAGTGGTATTGTTAGTGAGTATGTTAGGTAGGTGATGGCGAGTAACCAGAAGGTGAGGAGGTAGTAAAGGAAGGGTTGGCGGATGTGATAGAGGAAGAGGTTGATGACAGAGAGGAGGTTGTCTGTGGTTGATGGATGGTAGTAGTGAAGTGAGTATTAGATTACGGTTGGAAGTATGTGATGTCATGTGGTTGTGTGTAGTTGGTGAGTAGTACTAGTGGTGATAGCACGGCAGTGTGTAGGTGTGAACGTAGGTGTAGAACGTCGAGTGGTATTGTTAGTGAGTATGTTAGGTAGGTGATGGCGAGTAACCAGAAGGTGAGTGGGTAGTAGAGGAAGGGTTTGCGGATGCAAAGGAGGAAGTTGTTGATGACTGAGAGGAGGTTGTCTGTGGTTGATGGATGGTAGTAGTGGAGTGAGTAGGTGAGTAGTGAAATTGAGTATTAGATTACGGTTGGAAGTATGTGATGTCATGTGGTTGTGTGTAGTTGGTGAGTAGTACAAGAGGTGATAGCACGGCAGTGCGTAGGTGTGATCGTAGGTGTAGAACGTCGAGTGGTATTGTCAGTGAGTATGTTAGGTAGATGAGGGCGAGTAACCAGATGGTGAGGAGGTAGTAGAGGAAGGGTTTGCGGATGTGATAGAGGAATTCGTTGATGGCAGAGAGGAGGTTGTCTGTGGTTGATGGATGGTAGTAGTGGAGTGAGTATTAGATTACGGTGGGAAGTATGTGATGTCATGTGGTTGTGTGTAGTTGGTGAGTAGCACAAGAGGTGATAGCACGGCAGTGCGTAGGTGTGAACGTAGGTGTAGAACGTCGAGTGGTATTGTTAGTGAGTATGTTAGGTAGGTGATGGCGAGTAGCCAGAAGGTGAGGAGGTTGTAGAGGAAGGGTTTGCGGATGCAGGTGAGGAAGAGATTGATGACTGAGAGGAGGTTGTCTGTGGTTGATTGATGGTAGTAGTGGAGTGAGTAGTAGATTACGGTTGGTAGTATGAGATGTCATGTGGTTGTGTGTAGTTGGTGAGTAGTACTAGTGGTGATAGCACGGCAGTGCGTAGGTGTGACCGTAGGTGTAGAACGTCGAGTGGTATGGTTAGTGAGTATGTTAGATAGGTGATGGAGAGTAGGTAGAAGGTGAGGAGGTAGTAAAGGAAGGGTTGGCGGATGCGAAGGAGGAAGTTGTTGATGACTGAGAGGAGGTTGTCTGTGGTTGATGGATGGTAGTAGTGGAGTGAGTAGTAGATTACGGTTTGAAGTATGTGATGTCATGTGGTTGTGTGTAGTTGGTGAGTAGCACAACAGGTGATAGCACGGCAGTGCGTAGGTGTGAACGTAGTTGTAGAACATCGAGTGGTATCGTTAGTGAGTATGTTAGGTAGGTGAAGACGAGTATCCAGAAGGTGAGGAGATAGAGGAGGAAGGGTTTGCGGATGCAAAGGAGGAAGTTGTTGATGACGGAGAGGAGGTTGTCCGTGGTTGATGGATGGTAGTAGTGGAGTGAGTAGGTGAGTAGTAAAATAGAGTGAGTATTAGATTACGCTACGAAGTACAATGTAGTAGGTGCGGGTAGATTGTCGGCGAGTAGATGCAGTGGTAGTGGGTGGTTTGTGTAGGCGAGACGCCAATGTGAGAGGATGTGAAGGAGGTCGAGGGGGAAGAGTAGTGCGTAGAGGAGGTAGTTGAGGGCGAGTAGGTAGAAGGTGAGGAGGTAGTAAAGGAAGGGTTGGCGGATGCAAAGGAGGAATTGGTTGATATCTTTGAGGAGGTTGTAGTTATATGATGGATGGTAGTATGGGAGTGAGAAGATGATATCATGTGGTTGTGTGTAGTTGGTGAGTAGTACTAGTGGTGATATCACGGGAGTTTGTAGGTGTGACCGTAGGTGTAGAACGTCGAGTGGTATTGTTAGTGAGTATGTTAGGTAGATGATGACGAGTAGCCAGAAGGCGAGGAAGAGGTTGATGACTGAGAGGAGGTTGTAGTTCTATGATGGATGGTGATAGTGGAGTGAGTAGGTGATATCATGTGGTTGTGTGCAGTTGGTAAGTAGTACTAGTGGTGTGAGCACGGCAGTGTGTAGGTGTGATCGTAGGTGTAGAATGTCGAGTGGTATTGTGAGAGAGTATGTTAGGTAGGTGATGGCGAGTAGCCAGAAGGTGAGGAAGAGGTTGATTGCTGAGTGAAGGTTGTAGTTATATGATGGATGGTAGTAGTGGTGTGAGTGGGTGATGTCATGTGGTTGTGTGTAGTTGGTGAGTAGTACTAGTGGTGTGAGAACGGTAGTGTGTAGGTGTAGAACGTCGAGTGGTATTGTGAGAGAGTATGTTAGATAGGTGATGGCGAGTAGCCAGACAGTGAGGTGGAATAGTGGGTAGTTGAGTGAGTAGATGTGGTGTCGAATAGAGTGAGTATTAGATTACGGTTTAAAGTACAATGTAGTAGGTGCGGGGATGTTGTGGGCATGTAGATGTAGCGGTAATAGGTGATGAGTGTAGGCGAGACGCCAATGCGAGAGGATGTGGAGAATGTCCAAAGGGAAGAGTAGTGCATAGAGGAGGTAGAGGAGGGCGAGTAGCCAGAAGGTGAGGTGGAATAGTGGGTAGTGGAGTGTATAGGTGATGTGTCGAATAGAGTGAGTATTACATTACGGTTTGAAGTACAATGTAGTAGGTGCGGGTATCCTGTGGGCGAGTAGTACTAGTGGTAGCAGGTGGTGGGCGTAGGCGAGACGCCAATGCGAGAGGATGTGGAGAATGTCCAAAGGGAAGAGTAGTGCATAGAGGAGGTAGAGGAGGGCGAGTAGCTAGAAGGTGACGAAAAGGTTGACCGCTGAGAGGGGGTTGATGACTGAGAGGAGGTTGTCTTCAGTTGAAAGATGGTAGTAGTGGAGTGAGTATTAGATTACGGTTTGAAGTATGTGATGTCCTGTGGTTGTGTGTAGGTGGTGAGTAGTACAAGAGGTGATAGCACAGCAGTGCGTAGGTGTGACCGTAGGTGTAGAACGTCGAGTGGTATTGTTAGTGAGTATGTTAGGTAGGTGATGGCGAGTAGCCAGAAGGTGACGAAGTGGTTGACTTCGTCGAGGAGGTTGTAGTTATATGATGGATGGTAGTAGTGGAGTGAGTAGATGATATCATGTGGTTGTGTGCAGTTGGTGAGTGGATGCAGTGGTGTGAGTACGGCAGTGCGTAGGTGTGACCGTAGTTGTAGAACGTCGAGTGGTGTGGTTAGTGAGTGTGTTAGGTAGATGATGG